TCAGTTTGTACATTTTTTAGCGTGCGCAGTGAAATAGCTCATGTTTTAATACACGCAAACCTTTGATAGATCCGGCCCTTAGCAAAGCTGTCAGCTGTACATTAACTTCCATCATCAACCATGCCAAGTTGACCTCGTCTTACTTTTACTTTAATTTTATTCTTCGATACCTCCTCATACAGTAAGAGACTGCCATGTTTCTTGGTTTTCTAATTAGAAGATCTTGACCAAAACAAAGTTTATATTGAAGTTCCTTGAAGGTCAAATGCTGACCCAATGTCAGGATCTAGCAGAACAAGAGATGTTCTATAGGAGGAAAAAAATACCAGTTTTAAAAGAAGAGATTTTTATATCTCACAAGTTTCCTAGTTAATTTAACACCTTATAAATTTTATTTTAAATACAGACAATCTTATGAGCATGATTCTGCTTTGGATTAACTCATTAACTTTATCACAATTTTGCAAATTCGTATCTAAAAATGTTAAATTTCTCCAAGAATGACTCCATTAAAGCTGCTAATGTACATGTAAATCTAGCCGTGGTTGAAATGGGAGCCAGTGGAATGTCAAGATAACCATCTCACCCCCCGCCAGACAAAATATCGACAAGCAGCACAAGTTCTAAGAAAAAAACAGATTCCATAAGTTGAAAGACATAAATTCTCTTCTTTGTCATGCCTGGACGTATTTTTTACCACTTCAGATCTTTCAGGTGTCTGAAAATGAGGAATGTTTGGGAGGAAGATGCCTGGGCTGATATCTGCTGCAGAAGTTGAATGGAATGGAGCTTTTACTGGGATGTACATAAAAGCAGCTAAAAGTGATGGTTGGTTGGTACAACACTCAGTCTTTCACTCCAAGATAAAATTAATCTACAATGTTTTTAAATAGAGACATCTATAAAGGAAGTCCATTCTACTTTCATCTCTGCAACTCAACCCTTGCAAGGCAGGGTGGGGGTGCCGTATATGATGGCAGGAGATGATGAGGTTTTGTGTGTATATTCCACGGGAGCAGGTAATTATTACCTTCGTCAAGGAAGTGATATTTTTAGGAGTTTGTGTGTTTTTCTGTCTCACTGTTTACAGGACAACTTGAAAAGTTATGAATGGATTTTAATCATTTTATCACAGGTGTTCCTTATAGCCCTAAAAAGAACAATCGATTACATTTTGGTGATGATCCAGATCATAATCTGGATGCAGTTTTCAAATAAACCAGAAGGTGGCAGCAGTGCCTACTGACAGCTTTGGGCTCAAGAGGTCTGGAGGTATTATATTGAAGAAAAAAAAAGAAAAGGGAACTTTCTTGGTTTGTTAGCAGGATCGATTGAAAACTTGTGAGCAGATTACATGGGAATTTTTTTTTCTTTCAGAGGTGTGCCTTATGCCAAGGAACAATTTAATTTTGGTAATGAACCAGATCATGAGAGTTTTAGCTATAGGTGTAAGTCAAAATTTGGGGCAAACTTTGCTGTTTGGAGGAGGTCTGCTTTTCTAGTTTATTATTTCAGTTAACTTTTAGGTTTTGGCTAACTGACAAAAATGCTCCTGAAAATAAATCTAGAAGGCAAAAGCAGAAAAAGAACCTAAATTACCATACATGACTGAATTTAGCTTCATCAATTTAAGGAGCTGTAAAGGAGACGATTGCTGTCCTCGGCAGTAACACTCAGCAGAAAGGGATTCATATCTAATATATCGGCACCAGACTTTCAACAGAGAATAGTAACATACCAGGTGTAAGAATACATAAAACACATACATAAATTAATGCATACATAAATACCAGGTGGTCTACTATGATAGTCTGGATTCATTGACTTTGTGGCTTCCATTTCCTCCTTGATCAGCTTTTCTCTGCATTTCTTCTTTCTCCCTCTCTAACATTTTCTCACCACTTATACTAACACCATTGTCTAATTTCTGCTCGTGTTCATTTTTTGCACTTTCAGTATGCTCCTTGAACCTTCTGGTCTCTTTATCGTTCTTTTTCCCCCCTCAAATCTCACACTCTCTTCTTATTTCTTATTCCTTTTTTGCCAACAAAACTAGAGAATTCTCTACTTTTACATTTCCTTTTCATTTTGATCTGCAATGTGCAAACATCGCAATTTGAAGAAATAAGCCAACTTATTAGGATAGTCTATCATGACATGAAACCAAAAAATATTAAACCCATTCATACTGGTCAAAGCGGCAGTTCCATCTAAAAATCTTCTTATGGTATCAGCACATGTAATGTAATCATGTTTATTATGGCATATATGCTTTTGTAAATAAATGTATTACTTGAAAGCTTGATTTTGAATAAACACGTTTTTTGATATGATTCATCCTGGGTAAACAGTTTGTTTTGCAGACCACTGGTGATGATCTGCATTTTTATTTAAACCTCAACCACTAATCTAAGCTTTCTATCAATCCTTCCACCCATTATCAACACACATTCATCCATGCAGGTTGGTGATTTGGTAAGCCGTAGGTTACACTCTGGACATGTTGTCGGTCCATTACAGGGTATCATGGAGGCAAAAAGCACCAACAACCATGAACATATATCCTCACTGGAGAAGTCTGGATCTGATTTCTTGTTGGAAATCTGTTCAATATCAGCCAACAGAAGATTATCATAATATATTATATTGACCTGAATATAAAAATCTCAGATAGAGGAAAGTTAATGGAAAAACTCTGCTTCTATCTGCTTGTTTGAAGCTATATAAACCACAGCTGGATGATAAACGGGTCAGTTATTCAGTCAGCCTATGGGTAAAAGGAACACCACGGACGGGTCACCAGTCTGCAACCCAGAGAAACACAACCAAACCCGGACACACTTACACCTAAAGACAATTTAGAGACACCAATTAACCTAACATTCATGTGTTTGGACTGTGGTAGGAAGCTGGAGTACCCAGAGAGAACCCACGATGCAAAGGGGAGAACATGCAAACTCATGCAAAACGACCCCAGGCTGGGAGTGGAACTCGGAACCTTCTTCAAAGACAGCAGTGCTAACCACTGTGCTGGTGTGCAGCCCTCTTGATCAAAACTTTTTAAAAATATAACACTACAAAAAAAAGCGAAACAATAGATTTATGCTGATATCATATTGGGTCAATATCAGGCAATATTTAAAGCTGCGAAATTTGAAATGACAAAGTTAAATCGGGACACTCATATTGCTTCTTATCCTCACTTGCACCGCTCTCTAACAACACACGTCACCAGCAGACACATGCCGCTTCCTCCACACGCTGCTGTCTGTCTGGTTGATAAGGACTGTTGAGGCAGATGTTAATTGAAATAAACCAATTGTCTTTCGTGCCTCACATGCAAGGGGCCTGTCCTGCCTCGCTGAAAGGTTTGCTGCTGCTGCACTGGCAAAGTCCTGCACCGGCAGACAAAAAAAAAAAAATAATATTCCCAGTGCTTTGGGAATACTCTTGATCCTCCCTATGGCCAGTATGCTCAGATGCATAGATTTAAAAAGGGGAATTCAATAATTTCTAAGTTCAGGTTTGAATTTCAAACATTTAGACAAATTGCAGCAGTTTTTACTTCACTCTGGTTGCTCAGACTGAGAGCAGCACCACCCTGCACTTAGAGCTGAATGCATCCCAAATGTTCCTTATGTTCAGCCAAATTTTACCATTGATGTGATCCTGCTCCTCAGGAGTCATGACAGAAAGAAGATGTCCGCCACACATTCGACAGTGCTGCTCCGCGGTCTCCCAGCTTTGCCGCTTGCTGAAGTGACGATAACAGAAGCCCTGAAACTTCTCCCAGCCTGGTTCACACTCCCCCACATCTGAGGCAGGATGAACAGCAGAGGACAGCGACATCAATGAAAGGAGTTGTTGCATTTTCTAAAGTACGGTCATATGTTTTCAGTTTTATGTCACCACACCGCTTTGACACAAGTCTCCTCCATAACCAGGCAAGCAAGCGCAGCTTATTGATTCACCATCGACACAAGTGCCTCCATTTAGACAAGGATTTTGCAGACAGGAGTCTGTAAACATAAGAAATGAACATATGATACCAAATCTTTTTGCATTTATACATAACATAGTTTTTTGTTTGTTTTTTTTAGTTACAGTTGGTCAGGACCAGATTCAAAAATGGATCCACTTGTTCCAGAATACTGGAATACTGCATTTGTTTAAAGATAATTAATAATTGCAGGGTGTAACTGCATACAAAAATCATTCTTCAGTCACATTTCAATTAAATTAAAGTCAAATTTCGAAATGTTCTTTCTACCCTTCAGTCCCGAATAAATATTTCTCATTTACTTTCAGTTAAACAAATTACATTTCTGAAATAAATTTGATTTCTTCATGTCCTGAAACTAAAACGAGTGTAAATTGTACAACTGAATGAATATTTGGTTTGTTTTTTTCACTTAATAAATTAGTATAAGCAGGCAATGCTGACGTTTAAAGAGTTTTAATTACATTTAATTGATGCTTATGAGCAGCTTAACGTCATTTGAGCTAAATAACTAAGTTTAGTGTAGAGTGAGCTAACAGAAAGTTTATCGTTTAATAATTAACATTGTCATCATCCCAGTAGAACGCTGCGTTTCACACATAAACAGCATATCAACTTGTGCATGTGCTTACAGACAGATAGGGCTGGACTGGGTCATTATTATACATATTTCTCTTGTTTATACCTTTTTTTATCCTTTCAGAGAGTCGATTGTTTTCCTATTTTCTTTCAAAAGTAGAGCCCAGTTGATCATAGAGGGATATATATTTTCAGACTTCAAATCTAAATATAAATATCTAATAATTCTAAGAAAGTTTATTAGATATCGATATGCTAATCTAACAAAATCTAGAAAATTTTAAATTTTACACCAGGTTTTCTCAGAGTAAAACTACAAGTCTTTCTAGGCCAAAATGAAAAGCAATAGGTCCATTAAAGGGTGTGTGAATCTCTACAGGAGACGGTGTCTAGACACAGTGAATGATCAGACAGCTTTAGTTTCTGTACAGAGGAAACAGTAACTAAGCTGTTGAGGATGCAGCAGTTCTAATCCAATCTAGAATCCTGTCCTAAATAGATTTACACCTTATGTTTGTTTGCTTGTTATTCTTAAACTCTTCATTCAAGTTCATACAAGGTTTTACATCTGTATGATTATTTTTGGATTTACATATTCCATTGTCTGAAAACATTTTGTTAAAAAAAGGCCTTTCTTGGAAGACACCACCAGATGGAGCTGTTGTATCAATTTTAGCCCCTTCTAGGAGCAACCATTATCTCTGAATTGATTTTTTAATAATAAAAAACTTTTAATTTGCCTCATTTAAAGTTTATATACCTGGAATTTGTCTGTAATAAATTAGTAAATCTCTGATCCCAGTTTTAGAGGTCAGTACCTGCTTAAAGGAATAGTACACCCAAAACATGATTAGCCTTCATTTTCTACTCACTACCATGCTGAACAACACCTTGGAGTACTTTTTTGATATCTCAAATGCATCTGGAGATCTGGGAGGCTTCTTGCTGTCTGCTGACATTCAAATAATGGAGGTCTATGGTGC